TCTTTTCCCAAGGAGTTACGTGTCGGTAGCCGCAGCGTCCTGCGCACCATGCCGGGAGGGGCAGTTCCTATCCGAATACAAAGCCAGCGAGCCCCTCCACTGCTGCAGTGCCCGGCCGAAGGTCTCCGTCGTTTGTCGGCTCGCTTTTGCTCTGGATCTTTTCCCAGCTGGATGAGTGGGGAGGTGCAGCAGGTTTCGGGAGCCCTCCCTGGGGAGGAATGGCGAGGGGTGTTTCCTCTCTCGCTGCGAGAGCGGCGATGGTCTCTTTGGCCGAGGAAGTCCTGAGCCACCTCTGCCGCCGCGCTGCCCTGGGGCAGGGTTTCCACCTATGAGCTTGTCCCCTTGGGAATGTGGCGGTGGCACAGGGCTGAGCAGCCCCATCCCCGTCCCATCACAGCACGCGTGGTGGGCAGCACCCAAGCCGTGTGGGACCCACGCCTCTGGAGACAGCCCAGTGGGGACCCTGGGTGCGGAGCTGGGACAAACCCCTCTAACCCTGCTGTCTCCCCCGTTCTCTTTAGGAGCCCGGTCCTGCTAAAATGGCTGTGACCAGCAGCAACATCCCCAGCGCGGAGAAGGTCCCTGCCACCAAGTCCACGCTTTGGCAGGAAGAAATGAGGGGCAAAGACCAAGCGGATGGGAGCAGTGGCATCAGCCCGGTGCAGAGCTCAGTGCAAGGCCAGGCCGGGGCTGCCAGCTCCCTGAAGGATCCCATGCTGGACAGCAAGGAAGGTGAGGGACCAGGCAGTGACCCGGTTTAGGCAGCTGAGCTGGCAGAAAACCACTGTAGAGGGAAAAGTTTTCTGTGGGTTTGGTTCCTGGAGCATCCCAGCAAGGAGCAGGAGGCAGACCTCATCCCTGCTGTGCAGGGACCGGAGCGAGGCATTACGGGCTGGAGTTCAGGAAGGAAAAAATTGGCATCACGTACTGGAAAATCACAGCGTGGGGCCCAATCCTGCCCCGGCAGGGAGATGGGGCTGCCTGCCCTCGCAGGCAACGTTGCCCTCACACTGGGGGCAAAATGAGGGGGAAAAAACGCCTTTTCTAGCCCCTCCGCATCCCCGCCTGGGGCACCCGGAGGGCGCGGGGCCATGCTGTGCTCAGCCCGGCTGTCGGGGCTGCCAAGCCCTGAGCACCGCTTCCTCCTCCGGCCCCTGCGTCGGGGCCCTGTTTACATTTGGCCTCCCCGATGAGTCCCTGGAAGGCGCCGGGGCCGCAGCATTGTTCTCCCTGGAACAATAAGGGCTGGGGACTCTTCCTGCCGGGGCCGTGGACAGGTCCTACACGCTGCGGCCGTTTCCTTTATCTGCCTGCTTGGATGGGGGACGCTTTCCGCCTGCTCCCCGCTGCCAGGAGCGAGGTGTCCATCGCCTTGCGCCCACGGAGCTGTGATTGATGCCGGGCTGGGAAGGACAGGGATGAAAATGTGTGCAGAGTGGTGACTGCAGCCGTCCATTTCTTGGATTGAAGGTTTAGGTATTTCATCCATAAGCCCAATGCAAGGGTTGGACCGGCATCCCCGGTTCCCTGCAGACTGTCCCACCATCTCCATGGGCATGAAGGGTGGTCAGGGTGGAAAAGCCAAGGGTGCAAGAGGTGGCACAGCATGGGGCTGGGGCCCATGCCGTTTCTGCTCTTGTTTCCTGCTCCTGTCCTGGGTGGAATCCAGGTGTTTTTTGTTAGAAGCAGAACTCAGACTTGAAGCCAAGTGTGCTGACTTTTCTGTCCTTTAGACGAGACCTCCATGAACGGAGACCGGATAGACTGTGGGCGGAAGACGCGCGTTGAGAGCGGGTACTTTTCCTTGGAGAAGACCAAGCAAGACTCGAAGCTGGAAGAGCAGCAGCTGCCGCCCCCGCCGAGCCCACCCAGCCCCAGCACCCCAAACAACAGGTACAGTTATCCCAAATCGCCCTCGCAGGAGCATGCCCGGCCCTTTCCTTCCCCAGGTACCCGATCAGGCGACCGAATGATTCACAGCTTCTCTCTGAACTCCTTGGACTCGAAGAGCAGTTGCCCCATGCACAAGGACTCCAGCAGCAGAGATGTAGGAAGGGGAGCTGAAAAATCGGGGCGTCCCCTTTCTTTTAAAGCCAGCCGGCAGTACACCACCCTGGCCGACGTTCCCAAGGCCATTAGGATCAGTAATCGTGAGGCCTTCCAGGTGGAGAGGAAGCGGCTAGAGCGGAGAACCCGGGCCCGTAGCCCTGGGAGAGAAGAAGTGGCCCGGCTCTTTGGCAATGAGAGAAGGTAAGGGCTGAGTGGCTAATCTCCTCCTTGCATGCTTGCAACGTATTCTCCTCCTTGCATGCTGGCAACGGCGGCGAGGCTGGGTCCCCGCCGCAGCCCTGGACGGAGCAGGCGGTATTTGCTGGGTGAAGCCCCTTTGTATTACAGTGCTCTTGGGTTTAAGGATGCCCATCCACACCGACCAGGCGCTGGGATGTCCTTAGTAGTGCCAGCGGGCAGGTGTCACCCCGCCTGGCTGCTTTGGGGACAGCTGGCTGAGGTTGGTGACGTTTGGTGGCCGTATTTGCAAGCAAGCCCACCCTTCCTGTCCCCTTCCTGGCGCGGCACACGCTGGCAGCTGGCACCATTAATTAGGTTAGCTCTCTAAATGGTGTTAGTGCCGGGTGCGTTACGCAACTGCCTAATGAGCTGAGAGAGGTTTCAAAATGTCATGGCAGTAATCTGGGACAGGAGAGGCGGCTGCAGTGCCGAGGCAGGGTGCAGCAGGCTGCAAAACAGCTTAGTGCGGAGGAGGACGGGGAGGGTGTCCGCACACGCGCCTGCAGCGCGCACCGGCGTGCTTGGTGCTCTCCGGGCGAGGCGAAGGATGGGCTCGACTTGCCCTGGGAGAGATGCATTTGTGCTGTGAGGGCAGCAGAGCAAACTGGGAGATGGGCCCCGGGCGAGAGGGCCGCCTGCCAGTCTGATTTTCTTGCCCTGGTTTTCCTCTGGGCATGTTCTCTCTCGCACGGTTTCAGCAGGCGCTTCTCCTCTGTTTCTTCCCAGCCCCTAAAGGACTGTTTTCCAGCCTGCCTTCCTCACACCAAGAGCTGGGAGCGGGTCTGGGGAGGGTGGTGCAGCTTTGTGCCGGTGCTACCAGTTGGCAGGAGGATGCCAAACCCAGCCCGGCTTCGGCAGCGCGCACAGCAAGTGCCAGGCTGGGGAGAAAGGAGAAGAGCATGGGTTTGGCTTTCTCTGCCTCGGGAATTGGGTGGGAGGAGAAGGATGCCACGCAGGTCCCCTGGCCACCCTGGCTGGGGACGAGGCTGAGGAAAGGCTGGTGACTGCTGGTTTGCAGGCTGAACTGGTGCAGCGTGTTGGCCCAGGTGTGGGCAAGATCGTGTCCCCGCTGGGTTTGCTCACACGGGACGCCTTGGCCAGCGCCTGCCCCAGTGTGAGAGGACAGCGAGTTCCTCCGGTGCCGGTGCCGACACTCCTTGCTCTGGCCCCGGGGGTATCGTGCGGCACTGGGATCCGGCAGTGAGCTGGGATGTGCCAGCCAAGGACAGGGAGGAGCAGATTTACAGGCAGATAACAGGGCCCCGGAGAGGATGCTGCTGCCAGAGACTGTCCTTTTTTAATGTCAGCCCCACTCATTGCCTGCCGACGGGTGCCTTTTCCCAGGGAAAGTCTGTTTTTCCCAGCCCAGCTGGGCTCCTGGGGCTATTAACAGGTTTTTACTGCTGTATCAGTATTGGCAAAAATTCCCCTATGTCAGCTCAGGGCCTTTATCAGAGCAGGACGGGTGTAGGGAGAGGAGTGGGCGCTGCACCAGGCACAGGTCTTGCTGCCGGCAGGGCTGAGCCCGCTCCAGCGTTTGGGAGGGGGGTGATGGCAGAGAGCAGGGCAAGGGGTCCCCAGCTGCTGGAGGGTCTGGCCAGGAATCGCAGCCTGCGGCGCTGGAGGAACATGCCCTGAGCAGGGCCGGCTCAGTGGGCAGTGTTTAGGGATGGTCATGTCTGCTTTCTCCACTGGTAACCTGGGAATTGGCTCGTGCGGGTGGCGTGGGTGGAGAGGCCGTGTGTCCCGGAGCTTGGGTGGACTCAGCAGGGCACGGGGAGGCAGTCCAGCGTCGCACCAGAGAATTAACATTTGCCAGCACCCTGCTCAGCTTGGCTTGGCTGCTTTTTAAATTTGAGTTTACTTAGTCCACATATCCCTCCTCCATTTTTCTCCTCTGAGCTCAGGCTGTGCTGTTTGAGGTTGAGCAAATACAATAACTCACTTCTATGCTGTGGGGTCAGCTTTTCCCCCCGGGTTTAACGCCGTTTCTAATAGTCCTTTTCAGTAACCCACTAACAACGGCCAGGAACGCTTGCCTGAAATCGCTTGCCTACGTGCCAACCCCATAGGTGCCAGCTGGGCATCGTTCAGATCGGCCTTCCATCTCTCAGTACAGCCAGACTTGCTCTGATTCAGTTGGTATTTTCGGCTCTTCCTCCCATTTTTCTGTTTACCCCCTGTAAATCAGTGTGAGCATCAGAGCTATGGATGGAAAAGAATTATTTTAGGTACCCAGTGCTGCATCCTGACTGACACACCTGTAGGCTTAGCTCCAGATCAAGCTGTTTTTCAGGCTTCTTGTCCTGTTTCCTAATAGTAAGAGATATTACATGACTTATGTCCAGGACTGTGCTGGAAATTTTCCATGTTGACCATTTATACCTGACGCTAACTCCACGCCCCATGCAGACGGCTGAGCTCACAGCCGCTCAGAAACATGAATCAGAAACCAGGAGATAATCTCCATGATTTTGGCATGCGTGGCGGAGCGGCGGAGTGCGAGTTCCCTCTGCTGGCATGCAGCAGGATGAGGCGCCGTGCCTCCGGTCTCCCGTCTCAGACCCTTCCCTAGGGCGAAAGAGCAGGGGCAGCTCTTTGGAAACCCCATGGATAAATCTTGAAGCCTGTTTTGCATGCAAAATCACAGCGGAGGGGGCTGCAGGGACAACCTTGGATGCTGGTCCCCGTATCCCAGCGGAGCTCTGCAGCTGTGGGGATAAATCCTGGCACATTTCAGGAAGGTGTCAGCAGCTTTGGGAAGGAGACCATCATCGGGTGGGGACTCCTTGGGGTGCAGAGACCTGGAGCCCTTTCCTCCGGGTGTGCGGCTCCAGGCTGCCTCCTGCAGCTCTCCGGGGAGCATTGGGATTTCTGGTTGGCAAACTTGGCTTTTCTTGCACACTTCCAGGGATGCAGCCTCTAAAACCGCGGCTTTCCCGGTTGACCCCACGTTCTGCTTGCGCTGGCAAGAGTCTGCTGCAGGGTCTGCCAGATCTGCTGTAGGAGCATGGTCGGGGAGGGCTGAGGAGTATTCCTAGCCTCGATAAATAGCAGAGCTGCCTGAAATCGCTTAAAACACTTTTATTCCTCAAATTCCTTCTCTGGAGCTTCTTGAGATGTAAGGCTCTGCTCTGAATGCTGCTTCTACGTGTAGAGAGGAGCGCCTGCTCTCCCGAGTATGGGCTTTTTTTTCTTGTATAACTGTCCTCTTCATTTTTGTGGACCTTTTGGAGAAATTCCTCTTCCTTTTCCTGACGCTTGCTGTCTTTCTTGCTGCTAAATAATGAATGAATCCAATAAAAACAAGCCCTTTCTTCCAATCAAAGAAAATCACTTTAACGATAGCTCGTGCTGGTCTTTATAGCTTTCCTTCCCACTGCACACACCCCTCCACCTAACAGCCGAGATCTGCAGCTCGGGTTTAGTGGCCTGGAAAAGATTAACAGCCTGCATGGCCGAGGAACTCCTTGGGACGAGCTTTGTAGTTGAGAAAGCACTGAACTGCACCGCAGCTTTTAAAAATGCTTCTTCATACCTGTCCACAGCCTTGTTTTGTCAATATGGAGCTGCTGTTCAGAGGGAGCAGCTCTCTCCTCGGCAGGGTGGGGAGGAGAGGAGAGCCCTTCCCCTCCCCGTCCCCCCAGGATCTCTAGCAGTAACCTCTCTGAAATGTTGAGCTAATGGGAAAAAAAACACGATTCTTTCCTGTAATCTGGATGATATTAACCCTTGGGGCTGTGATTTGGTTGCAGTGATTTATTTTTCTCCTCCCTTTCTCAGTGACGAATTACTGGAATGATTTTGATTTTGTTTTGTATGTAGATGCAGATATATAATTTCCTCTTCTGTTCATTCATTTTCCAGCCTTGTTTTCTTCCAGGTCTTGTTGCTCTCCACCTTCTCCTGCTGTGTTGCTGTGTGACGTGTCCGCCTTTACTTCGCCTGCTTCGCTACCATCTCATCTCAATCTCAAGCCGTAGAACAACCTGGTGGTGCAGCCCCTTTCATGAGAAATCAACCTGCTTTTGATTTTATTTTATGGTTTTGGTTGGGTTTTTTTTTTTTCCTCCTGATTTGTTTTTCTTCAGGCCTTCCCCTAATAGGGCACAGACAATGTTAATTCATGGATCTCTTACTCCCTCCTAAACTGAGACTCAGAGAAGGCTGAGCCAGTGTAAAAAGGGTTAAAAAATTGTGACTCCAAAACAGTTCCCCGTCTGTCGGTGAACACAGGACGTGGATTTATGCTCTGCAGGCTGGCTTATGTGAGCGGACATCTCGTGAGCAGAACATCCCAGGGGGACTGGGAGCTCTGTGCGAGCCCGGGATCTGCCCGCTCCCAGTCTGCAAACTGGGGGGCGGCAGGGGCTGAACAGATGTCCCGTAAAAACATCAGAGACATTGGAATTTACAAAGCCAAGTCTTCTCCACCGATTTTGTCCCTTCCTCTTTGGTGTGGGCTTCAGCGCCCGGTCCTGGCAGCCTGGCTCTGAGCAGCAGTGGGGGGGCCCCCAGCCCGCCGGGGGATGTGATGTGCTCAGACTGTTCGTCTCATTAATGGAATTTGGTGCAAATGTTGGTTAAAAACTAAACATCTCATGGTTTTTGGGTACTTAACCTGCTGTTCCTTTTTGTGGGAAGTGTTAAAAATGTTTTTCTGGATAACCTGTTTCCCCTCATGTGGTTGCCATTGTGATTTTCATGCACGTTAGAGGTTCACACAGAGCAAGCAGCCCCAAGTTTAGATGCGCCACACGTGGGTCCAAATTTTGGGTCAAGAACCCACCCAGATTGAGCTTTCTGGAGAGGTTCAAAATTGAGCTTTAAACCTCACAGCTTGGAGCTCAGCTGGCGCGTGTGTTGGTGGTGGGTTATTGCTTCACGTTCCCAGGTTGTGATTAAAGACCTGAGGTTGATACTTGCCCAAACCCCCGGGCATGCAAACTTAGACACCAGCAGGTCCTTTGAAAATTCCAGTATTTCCTCTCCTGTGGGTCAGCGAGCAGCTTTTCATGCTGAAATGGTGCTTTTAATACCACCTGCAAAGGCCTGTTGTTTGCTCGTTCTTAGGAGCATCCCATTTGGGTTTGGTCCAGGGTTGGCTCCTGTTCCATCTACATTTCTTCATAGTTCTCCTCCGTCCTTGGAGACGTGTGATGGGCCACCAAGGCGGTGTCTGAGAGCCCAAGTTGTGCTCCCTGCTGTCCGTACCAGATTTACAGACCAGTCTGAGAGGAGGGTAGAGCCCCGGGGTTTTGCAGGGGATGCCTTGCTGTGCCTGCACAGGGTGCTCCTCATCTCCTCATGCCTCTTCAGCTGGCACACCCTGCAAGCCAGACCCGTTGTCTGGAGGCACTGACGGACACTCCTCACTCAGTACAATCCTGTGGCCGTTACCCGTGTGGGGCTGAAGTTTTACAGGGTATCTCTTGCAGGGAACACGCAGGTACCCGTTACATCTGCACCCCATCTTGGTCCGATGTGTCTCTGCTCTGTGGCCTGGGGGGCCATCAATAGCTGGAGTGCTAGAGAGTAAAGACAAAGCTTAAGCCAAAGCTGCTCAATAATCCCTGCTTCTCAAAGGGCTGTAAAATATACAAATAAAAAGTTATTGCTGGTTTTGCAAGGGTTTTCTAGATATTTAAGAAGATACTGTTTGTGGAGCTGAGTAGCGTGAGGTTTTTCCCCACTTTGGCTGCAGGTAAAATGGTGCGTGTCAGATCAGGGCATTTTGCCCTGGATTTGTGCACACTAGAGCTTGCAGAGAAACAGGGACCAAATGCCAGGTGGCATGACCACAGACACTGGGTCGATCAATTCTGCAGCCTTAAATTTGTGGGATTGTACAGCTCAGCGCAGTTGCTGTTCTTGTGTTTAAACCGGCTCTGGTTTCCCCTTTCTGTTTTCCAGGCGATCCCAGGTCATTGAAAAATTTGAGGCATTAGATATTGAGAACGCAGAGCACATGGAAACGAATATGTCGGCTGGTGCTGCCCTTTCCAGTGAGACGCGGCAGGGCAGGAGCGAGAAGAGGGTTTTCCCACGGAAACGGGTAAGCTGCTCAGCCAAGGTCTCATGGTGGGATTTGGAGGATGGCACCTGGGATCCGGCAGCCCGGGATAGAGGGTTTAGCTACAGGGTTTGTCCCTGGGTGGAGCAGGGGATCTGGAGTCGCAGTCAGGCTCATGCAGGAGCCAAAGCGCTGTGTGTGCTCAGTCTGTGCAGGTTTGCTGCTTGCTGCTCTGCTCCCTTGGCCCAGCTGCAGATCAGAGTGGAAAATCAGGCTGTCTTTTCTCCTTCCTCCAAAGTAGAAAGAGGGAAACTTCACATCTGGCATGGCAGGACACATCAGGGTGGGGTGAAGTAACAAAAGAAACAGGCAGTCTTGAGAGTCCCGGATACGCTTAGATATATTGGGGACAAATTAATGCCTGAGAGGACCAAAAAAATGTATTGCCAATGAAATGACACTTGTTCTGAGCCCGAGATGCCCCTTAAATACACGGATTTTTGTGCCATGAGCCAAGAGAGTGAGACTCACTGTCCTAGTTCCTGCGCTGATCTGGGCTAACGCTGTTTACACAGGACTTCACTTGCGAAGGTGGAGCTGTGGGCTCCATCCTGGATGTGTCTGCGTCTCCTCTGTCCCCGCATCGCCGGGCAAAATCGCTGGATAGAAGGTCCACGGAGTCCTCTATGACGGTGAGCCACCGGGGCCGTGTCCTCTGCCCTGGGGCAGGACATGAGAGGCCCTTCCCGGGCAGGTCTGGTGAAAACTTTACTGTGCTGCTTTCCCCATAGCACATAGGACATAGGATACGCTCAGATTCAGAGCAGATTTCTGTGACCTGGCATGTTAAGGAGAGCTAACACATGTGCTGGCTTTCGAATGATGCTTCCTTGATGTTTATGCAGTTGCAAGTGGGTGTCAGCGGGTCGAAGGCTGCGAGGAAGGGCTGAACCTGCCCTCCTGAGCTTTCTTCCCTTTGCATATTTCAAATGCTTACCAGACCTGGGGGCAAACAGTACAGAACAAACACAAAATGCTTTTCTCTCACTCACCACCCTTCTGCAGGAACAAAATAAATACACTTGCTAATCTCTCAAAAAGATTACACAGCCATTGTAAATATGAGCTGCATTTTTCATGGATGGACAGCTCCTGTTCAAGGACTGCTCAGAAAAATGCAGTGGCTTACGTTTCTGTATAGCTTTTCATGTAGACTTGTACAGCCACGACAGTGATTTTTAAATTCTCAGTGGTAATAAAAAGGTGCAAGAAGGGCATATTAAGTGGCGAAGCACATTGTCTAATGAAGGCAAGAAGATCATGCTGTCAGTGGGAAGAAAACTTTTTCCTTGCATTAAGTACGCCTTTATTGTGCCACTCCTGCTATAAAAGTAGCAACATAAGAAAAACCTGCACGCCTGCTGGCTTGCAACCATGATTGCAAGGCTCTCCCCTGCCCGTCGGGTTCACCGTGTCAGATCAGATCGGTTATCCGTCAGGATAAAAGCCAGGGGAGAGTTCATCCCTTGTTAGGCTCGGTGGGTTACAGCAGAGCTGTGGCTTGCGCTGCGTGGGTATCTCTTCCATCAAGTGCTTCATCTGGTTTTGGTTTCTAATGTCTACACCCTTCAGTGGCAGCTGGTCCCAAATTTTTCGTGCTTCAGCAGCTTTGCAGCTTCAGGCAAAGCCTGTCTTCTCCTGCCTGCCCAAGCAGTCGGAGGAAAACAAAGGGGTTTCTGTGGAGGAGCGGGACCTGCAGGAGAAACCTTCCTGCTCCGGGTGCTTCTGTAGTGTGTCGCTGCAGCCCAGTCTGAAAGCTGCATGTACTGCTTAGCAGCGTCTTTCCTCTCTGGCTGCTTCTACACCTTTGCTTAAACTTTAAGGAAACTAAGAAGTATAGTAAAGTAGTATGAACGCTGCTAAGGAGGGATTCATCTGCTTTTGCAGAAGATTCTTGCCCTGTGCTTCTTCCCAGTTGATAAATAACAAGCCCATGAGCAACTGTAACACTTGCACTACTTCTGTTTTCCTTCTCTGCAAAGTGCGTGGTTGGGGAGCTGGTTATTTTTGATCCAAAATGCAGATCCTTTGCTTGACGCTCTCCTGTTGTACAAAAAAGAGCTTAAACAGGACCCAGACCCAGGGGCCGTGATCCCACGGGCACTTTGACAGAGGAGAAGCAGGCAGGTAGTGGTATCGCTCTCTCAGGGTAAATTAGGGCTGAGGTTAGGATGCCCAGCTCTCATAGCCTGCTGCAGAGATGGATGTAGTCATTGCAAATGAAATTTTCTCTATAGTTCGTTCGTGGCTTATCACTGCCTCGTCAGCAGGTCCTGGTGGGGCTTGGCGGGTTTGTTGCCTGCAGCCACATCACAGCCAGGGTTGCTCAGGCTGGCGTCTGTCCGCTCCTTCTTCCAATTCTCTAGGGCTTTGGGAAGGGTAAGGTGGCATTTACTTTCCCATGTGTTTTGTGGAGCGAGGCTGCGTTCCTGCCACCGTGGGAGCACTCCAGTGCAGGATGTGCTGCCCCACAGCATAGGTTTGACTGAATAGGCTTCCAGACCCCAGTTTTCCATTGCTCCCCTTGCTATAGGCTGTCAGATGCTACAGCTGCATTTCACACACTGCTGGCCTTTCCTCCTCCACTCTGCAGCACATGGAGCAGCTGGAGGAGCTCAGCCTCGAGGGAGAGAAAGCATTTCCACCACATCCTTCCCTGCGCACGGGCAGGGCTGGGAGGAAGGGCTGGTGGGAGTTATCCCACACTGTCTTGGTTGCTTTTCTCCAAGCTTCAACATCCCGCTGCACCCGCTTTGGAGGAAAGAGCAGGTGTCGTTTGGGTGGTGCAGTGCTCGGATTCCCTGTATTTCCAGCCTTGGGGACTCAGCCGTATTTAGAACCCTGCAGCTTTGCATGAATAGCAGATAGTTTTTCCTTCGTAGTATATGATAGAGGGGCAAAACTGCCTGCAGTCTTGCTAATTTCTTGCTTCTCCTTCCTCCGTGATGCTGGTCTAACAGTAGGAAATTGCAAGAGAAGTGCTAGGAAGGGGACAGCCTGAAGAAACCATGCAGTGCGTCTCTGTTCCTCCTGGGAGCAAACGTTTAGCTCCACACAGTATAATGATCCGATTTAACCGTTGCTGGTCTCTTTTATTGCTGCGCTGTGTTTTATCAAGCTGCTGCTGTTGTCTGCTGGGTGCGGATGCTTCCATCCTCCCCTCTGATTGCCCCTCTCCTTTCTTGCAGCCCGACCTGCTGAATTTCAAGAAGGGCTGGTTGACAAAGCAGTACGAGGACGGGCAGGTGAGTCCGGGGAAGGCTCTGCCCTTCGTGTCACTCTTCAGTGCCACAGTCGGTCCCGGTTTCTGGCAGCTGACGCTCGCTCTGACGTCCCAGCTGTGCAGGCTGCTCTGGGCACTGACGGAGCCCTGATGTCCTTGCAGGGTAGATCAGTATTGGGCTGTGCTCCAGATGGGAGAAACCAGATGTAGGCACTGGGGCAGAGCAGCGACAGGGAATTTGTACAGCTCTGGAGCCAGGCAGCGGTGGTTGTGTGCAAGCCCTGTGCAAACGGTGTTTGACTTGGTGCGGGAATAGCTGGTGCTCTGTCCTGGGGAGGTTTCAAAGCCCCACAGCTGGATATTGTGTCGTGGGTTTCTAAGGAGCCGGGCAGCTTGGATAGCAGCGCTGGTTTTGTGTTCCCATTCTCTATTAGGCTCATCTCCCTTGCGACCCAGCAACCTCTTTGGCATCAGTAATGAGGCTCAGATAAGGTCTCCTGAGCACCGGGGAAATGGCAAGGCCAAGAATTAAATAAATGCCTGTGAGTTGGCACTGAGGGAAGCAGCCGCTGCCGCTTTCCTCCTGTCCCATTCCCGGAGGGATGCGGGATGTGCTGCTCTGTCAGAGCCTTAGGGATGGGCACTGACACCGGGATGGCGTGGGTGCCCTGGCTGTTTGCAAACTGCCCCTTCCCTGGGTTTCCTTCCCTCCTGCTCAGCCCGTCGAGGGAGAATGAGGGCGACTTGCCCGTGGCTGTGAGTGCCATGGCCTGTGGCTCCACTGTGGGTGCCCGCTGGTGTGTTGGGCCCTGGGGCCCAGGGCACGTCTGTAGGCAGCCAGAGGGGGAATCGGCTGCTGGAGCGAGCGCTTTATTAACTGAAAGCTGCCTTGGGTAAGCCTGTGCCTCGCTGGGAGTGTGCAGAAGGCGTATTTGTGTAGAGCAAGGGCCAGGAATAGGCTCCAGCTCAATTTCTAGGTACTGCAGATAAAACATTAATGTTTTACTGCTCTTTTTTTTTTTTTTCTAAAAGAAAAGATCCCTCCAAGGCTTTAAGTGCAGCCACTAAAAGCATCGTCTTGCCAGCAGAGCTAATGGGAAGGCTCCGACTGCCCCCGTGACTCTCATGGTGTTTCACTGTCACATGCAGGGTTGGTGCTGCTGAGGGTCCAGTGCTCCGCCAGTGCGGCAGCGCTGGGGAAATTGGGGTCCTGGCAGTGCAAACCATCACTGCGTCCCTTGCACTGCTGCCTGTTCGGGTCTCCCCTTCCGCCCGAGAGGGCCTCTCAGTGAAGCCGGGTGCAGAGCTGGGAGGGGAGAGGCTGCAAGCTCCCTCCCTGCGGGGCATCTCTGCCAGATGACCTGTGATGAGCTGCCTGGGCTCTGCTAGTGGGGAAGGAGCAGGATTTTAACTGCCCCGTCTTGGTTGTTTCCTAGTGGAAGAAGCACTGGTTTGTGCTAACCGACCAGAGCCTGAGATACTACCGGGATTCAGTGGCGGAGGAGGTAAGTGTCTTCCCCCTTGGCATTAAACACATCACTCTCAACCCAGGGGAGCCCCAGGTGCTCCCAGACTGACCCCTGACAGCTTGTCTTCCCGGATGCCGAGGTCCTGGAGCGTTGCTCTTCAGGGCTTTGTGCTTCTCGAGGACCTGCTGCGTGCCTCCCTGCGAGCCCACCGCACTTTGGGATTGCAAAGCATTACAGCTTATTTTACCTCTTCCCTCTCCAGGCAGCTGACCTGGATGGAGAAATCGATTTATCCACGTGCTATGATGTTACTGAGTACCCTGTTCAGCGAAACTACGGCTTCCAGATCCATGTAAGGAAAACGTGGGGAGGAGAAAGAGTCCGGCTGCAGGACGGCCGATGGGGCTGCTCTTGCTGTGCCGCTGCTTGGGGATGCTTGTCCGTGGCAAGGGAAACATCTCCCCAAACACCTACGAGAGGCCACCCGGCATCCCCCACAGTGCTCCAGGGAGCTATGGCCTTGGGTCTGAGAGCCACTTTTTTGGTTCACAAAAAAAGGAGGGGGAAAGGGAAGGTTTTGTCTCAGCCTTAGGGTCTCAGCAACGGCAAAACTAGTGTTGATTGCTGAGAAACGCTAATTCCCACCGTGAGCGTGCTGGGGGATGGAGGGGCTGGGTACGACCTCCACACGGCCGGCGAGCAGTGCCCCAGCGCTGGGTGCTCGGGGCTGGGTGCAGGGTGCTGTTGGGGGTTGGGAGGGGGCTGGTGGGTGCAATCAGCTGCTCTGAGCCAGTCCTCCTTTCTCCCTAGACGAAGGAAGGGGAGTTCACCCTCTCCGCCATGACGTCGGGCATTCGCCGCAACTGGATCCAGACCATCATGAAGCACGTTCGCCCCACCACTGCTCCCGATGTTACAAGGTAAAGGGGGGAGTTTAGCAGCCCCTGCAGTTGTCTGGTTTGCTGTGCAGGAGTAACTCTTCCCTTACCACCTTTCTTTCCTCTTTCTGAGCCTGTCTGTTCCTGGAAGCTGCGGCTTTTTCTCACATCCCTCTCTGGGCTTAATTTGGATATGCTTTGTGGGGATACTGATATGCTGAGTTACTCTTACGCGTACAGATTTCAACGAGGGTTGAAAATGTGGCTTTAATTTGTGCATAGGAATATGAAATACTGTTCCTATATCAAGGCTCCTCTGGATTCCCACCAGGTATTGTGAAACCACTTGGATTCAGTTGTGCTGGGTTCTCCCTTTCCTCTGGCTACTGTTCAGCACGAGCTGCCCATCCCCTCCACGGGTCACGGCAGCACAAGCCCAGGGTTCAATTTAGAAGCTGTTTGGCTCTGATAAATTTTAAACTCCAGCCAGCAAATCATCTTCCCTCCTCTTTTGATCTTCCAGATAGCTGCCGCAGCTCATTCCCCTTACACGTTAGTAATGCTCGCGTCTCCTCCTGCCGTCAGTGCCAGAGGAAGGGACCCCTCGCTTCACAGAGTCCCTTCTGTGAGCGCTTGCGGCTGCGGGTAAAGGGTGTTTGACCTCCTCACAGCTAACCACGCCAGCCACACTCGTATGGGCCACCTCTTACAGGCTTCGTGGACACGGCCGCACCATTAACTCCGTCTCCTGTCCTTACCGTAGCTGCAGCGAGCAGGTTTTTGCCAGGTTTGTTCCTGCATTGATGGAATGGCTCTTCTCACCCGGTGCTGTTGACCTGGAGATGCTCCAGCCTCTCCTTCCCCGTCCCGCTTGGCTCTTGGCCACCGTTTCCCAGCCCTGCCCGAGCTCTGGTGGATCTCGCGGGGGTGTCGGGGAAGCCGCCTCTCTCCTCACTCCTGTGTATGTTTGATTTCCATGCAATCCCAGGAAAAACTTCTCTTTGAAACTATCCGTGCTGAAGCCCAGGTTGGAAAACTGTGTTCTCTCCTGTATTAACATTTTGTGGTTTGTATATCTCGTGATTCACTGCATGCTCCTCCTTTTCTGCACCTCGGATGGGAAGTCCTGCAGTTTCCATTTATTTTTCTTTCTTTTCTTTTTTTTCCCCCCTTTTTTTTTTCTTTAAATAAAAGCCAGAGAGAAGGGAAGAAACAACCTGGTCTTGACACTTGATTTCCCCACACTGGTATCTTCCGATGTGACTAGATATGAAGATGAAGACCAGCGAAATTTGAGGGGACCTCTCTGCCTTTAAAGAGCCAGATGTATTTATAGCCTAACAGGTTACTGCAGCACGATAGTCCTGCGCTCTGCATCTGCTCTGAGCCCACGCAAAGGGGTTTGACCTGGCTCACCCCAGTGAGAGGGTCCGAGCGCAGGTACCAGTTGGGCAGTAACTTGTTACGCTGCTTAAATAGACCGGGAATCTCAATCTTGAGCTGGGGAAAAGGGAATTGTAGGTGCACTGCTGTCATTTTCCACCAAGCTGGTTTCGGATGGGGTAGAGTCTGGCGTGGGTTAGTCACGTTGCTGAGAAGTTGTCGCTGTGAGCTGCAGGGCTGTGCCACGCGTGAAGCGGGGCTGTGCTCACCCGGTGCCTGCTCGCCAGCCCTTTGCCACGGCGCGTGGGTGCACGGGGTATCCCAGCCCGTCCCGCCTGGCTTCGGGCACGTCGTTAACATCCTCACCCGGGGAGAGGCTTGCGGACAAGGCTGCTGGAAAGCCGAAGGACAGACTGCCAAAGGCTTGTGATGGAGAGGTGGCAAACGTCTGCACAGCGCGGCCGGGGTGCGAGAGGGACGTTAGTCTGGATGCTGGGCTGTGCCAGGAGGGCGGCGGTGCTCGTCCCCGGGGCCAGTCTGACTCGGCATGCTCCTGCAGCCCTCCGCCGCGTCTCGTTAACCCGCTGCCGTGTCTCCACCGAGCCAAACGCACGTTTTCTTGGTTACTCAAGTCCTAATTACTGTTTATATTGCTGCGTGTGTCAGCACCTGGGGCGGGGGGGCAGGTGCTGCACTGCTCCCTGCCCTCAGCGGTGCCCTGCAATCTGCAGAGGCACTAATTACACTCTGCTAACGATGACCATGCAGATATAAAATACCCACAAGAAAGAAGGTGGCCGCTTCAGTGCTGGGTCCTTGTTCAGCTCCCCACCCCGATGAGGCTGAGTTCCCCAGTGCCCCCGCCAGTTCCCTGCAGCCTTCACGTGCTTTTTGCACACTGTGGCAGCGCGCTCGGCTCACAGCTTGCACCGCTCCCACAGCCACCTGTATTAAAAAAACCTTTTTGTTTTGACCTATAAATACCATTGTGAGGCAAAGACCCCCCCTTCCCATGTGATGTGAATTAATTTGGCTGGGACGGAGGAGATGTGAAACGCTTGAGCAGAATTAATAGCCGTGGGGCACTGGCGGGAGATGAAACAAGAAACTTCGGGTCAGTCTTCTGAGTCTCTTAACTCAGTTCCCAGCGGCCGTCCCTCCGCTCCCTGACAGACATCCCATGCCCTTTGGAAAGCAGCAGAGGAGAAATGAGCTCGTGAGAAATGTCACCTCTAGAAATGCTGAGATTCTTCCACGTGGTATTCAGAGCAGCATAATTTCTGTCTCTCAACAGTGTCCAAGGGGCCCTGGGCCCCCCTTTTTTCCTAGCTCTCTTCTCCATTTTAAGACTCCATCTCATCCCCGCTTTACTTATTTATTTAAATGCAGCTGTAATCACTAACTGACTCCAGATTGAGCGCCTGGCTTTCGAGTCATGCAATATCTTCTAATGGTTGAGAAGTGAGGAGGTTTCATCGTGGTGCCTTTTGGGTTTATTTTATTAGCTGCAAGTGACAGAGCTGAAGAAGGAATTATCTCCGAGCTGGTTTTAGCCTGTAGCTGCGAGAGTTTCTTGAAACCCAGCTCTACCGAGCCTGTGGTTTGATCGTGGATGAAAGTGCATCGGAAGATACTAGCCCTGGACCCATGCAGAGTCATCTCTTCTGCTCCATTCTTTGTTTTGGGCACATGCACATACATGAGGTTGTTGGCTGCGGGAGCTGGGGTGTGTTACCAAGGCGGGAGGAGAAGCCGTGCTGCTGCTGCTCCCTCCCGGTCGCGGCAGTCTCAGTGCATGTGGTCCCGTGGGTCAGAGCCCCGTTAGCGGTGCTTTGCCTGCAGCGAAGGGCCCGGGGAGCTGCTTTCCAGCTCTTTCCGCTGCGCCCTTCTAGAAAGCTTGTCGAGGCTGCGCTGGAGGCTGGAGCCCGGGGGGATGCTCTGGTTGTACTGGAAGGGGGGAGAGCCAGGAGTCAGCCTGAGCAGCAGGGCTGTGCCTCAGGAGGCATCTCGGGGGCTTCTGCTAGCAAAGAGGGTTCAGCAAATGCCTGCCACTCCCTTGGGACGGGCTTCCTCTGCAAACTTAGCATACTGCCATTTTCTTTTTTTAATTTTGATCTGCATGTTACAAGGCTGGCATGTCTACGTTTAGTAAGCTAACACTGCATTATGGATTATCCGTAGGTTGGAAACAGTATTGCCTTCCCCTATTACTTTCCCTGCTTGACGAGTATGTCTCCCCTCTCAACCCACCACCCTCTAACTCAGCACTAAAAATCATTCCTTGCTTGAGAAATCAGCGTTTTCAGTGACTTCCGTGGTGTGTTGAATAACTCTTGCTCTCCTTGCTGCACCGACAACTGCGCATACGGCGTGCAGCTCCCCGTGGCTGCCCGTGCTGCCCACAAGGCTGGTTTCCCCGGGGGAGATCTGTGCCTTCAGTGCAGATAGTGGCACGGAGAAGTTTTCAACCCATTAATACCCCGACTTGCCAAGCTCGAGGAAAACCTTCCCCCCGTTGCCCAAGACTTCTGGGAGCTGCTCTGTGCTTCTCCGCCCCGCAGCTCTGAAGCCAGACTGACTTTGGTGGGACTGGTGGCATCCTCCCCGCAAGCACGTGA